CTAAACAAACTAAACTATCCAAATTAAAGCATTTGCATGTGTTTGATAAGATTTTTCTTTAAATTTCGTTAACAAGAATGATAGGGGTAGTTTATTTAAATCCCTTCCGCTCATTTTAAAAAAGTGAAAAAATTACCAGAAAGTGTGTTTTCATAACAGTAATGCTTCCATAAAATTTCATTAGTCTATTTCTTTTCGTTTTCAAGATAAAAAATAAAAACATTATTTTTCCGCCATCTTTGTACAGCGATATCTCCCTAATGGTTGACTTTTGACCCAACATTTATAAAGCAAACTACCCTTTATTTTGAACAAGGAATCACCCCCTAAAGTTTTTCGCATTTGTTTTGAAACACCCTGTATATATTTTTTTAATTTTGCAGCATAGGTAGAGGAAAATATACTCTTTCTGGGCTTCTGTTAGCAGTCACTGCAGCTCTGGTGTTTGTAGCACGCCACGTAAGTCATTACACACATCTACACTTTATTTAATGCAGTGATTTAAATTATTTTTGTAGACAGAGCAGGTTGCTAGAGTACTATTCCTGTGGAGATCCCAAGTAGAAGAACAACGCGATTGTGCTAAAGACTTGAAGCGGCGAAACGAGGCACTAGTGTATAATATTTTACCTCCCCACGTAGCTGCGCACTTTATGGGAAACAGAAACAGAAATCACGACGAACTATACTCACAGAGTTATGAAGAAGTTGGAGTTTTGTTTGCATCAATGCCTAATTTTTCAGGTTAGGTTTATATTAAAATGTATATCTAATATGTTACTAATTTATTTTTTTTTATTTTAGATTTTTATTCAGAAGAAACTGTAAATAATCAGGGTCTAGAATGTCTAAGGTTCCTGAATGAAGTGATATCTGATTTCGATGCGGTATGTATGAAATTTTATCTCCTAAAAATACCAATTTACCAATTTTAATATATTTTTTTTAACAGAACAAGCCAAAACAAGGCCTTTATGTTTTTTAGATTACACATTAAATATACAGCAACGGTAATTTATAAGGTTAAAGGTGAATTTTATGTTCCTATAAACCCCAAAGTATTCAGATTAGGCAGTTACAAGAGAGTCATAAATATTTAAAAAATCTATTGCGAGTATAACCGTAACCACCGTAATAACAAGGCCGCACAGCTTATTCGTGACGTCATCAACTGGAGGCCTAAACTTTTATTGCATTTGATACACTTTATGCGTATATAATGGATATAAAGTTTAATTGCATCGAATTTTTAATAAATAATAATTAAACACAAAATTTAAAAAACATGAGATTTATATCCTATCTCACATTATCCATCGTCATTGTATTTATTTATGCTGTAAGTGTGTCTAAGTTTCTTTTATTTCCTTATCCAAGTCTTTCAATATTTTTTAACAACAGTAGTTTTTCAGACGTGTATTTCTAATAGGATTTATGACAATTTTTACAATAACTTAGCATTATAAATAGTACATTGCGGAAATTTTAATAATGGTGTTATTACTTTCAATGTAATCCAAAGATATTTTTGATAAAAATATTTTTTATTGTGAATTTTGAGAAACTCCTCATGGCTTTGCGAAACTTTGTTAAAAATGATATATTCAAATAAAACTATATTAGTTATTTCATCTTTTGGAAACCCAAGACTGTCTTTAGTAAGGTTTTTTATAAGTGAATTTTGTTCAATATCAGTCTTGTCTGAAAATGTTAAATTATTTTTAGGGCATTAATGACTGAATCTTAAGTTTCTTTTCGCCTCATATAAATGTCGAACACAAATACTGTACTGACTCCCAGCTAACTGTCTATATTTTCCAAACCTACTTTCAAGAGGATCAGCTTGCAAGATCTCTAGTAAAACATACCTCATATTTTACTCATTACATACCTCATATTTGACTCATTAAAACAATATTTTATTACTTCAAGCTCAACCTGTTACTCAACTCAAGTTAATAACTTTAATATTGAACACAGATAAAAGTTAGAATTTTTTTTATTATTTTCATCGCATTTTAAAGAATTTAGTAAATAACACACACACACACACACACACACAAGCATGACTAATAATTTGATCAGTGACCTTATGATCGAAAAAAAAAACGGCGTCTAGTTGGCTTGGAAATGATGATCGATGACATTCCCCATATAATTTTACATATAAAATGACAGCGATCTTCATTTCATAGCTATCGCTGAGGCCGTTTTTTCTCGATCTTATTGTACTTTAAATAAAACTAGTGAATGAAGTAATAAACTATCAATTTCATTTATAATAAATCTTTCAAATGATGTTTTTGCTTCATTTACCTGGACTGTAGTATTTTGGCCATATAAATAGATTTCTAATTTCAGATCTAAATGTTCTATGTATTTAATATCTGTATATATGTGATAAACCAAAGTATAATTTTCTTATTAAAATACTGATAACACATCCTGCTGTATTTTGTCACCACAAATTCATCACTATGAGCCACTATTTCTGAATATTCCTATCATTAGGAAAGCGAAAAACGTGGTTTTTGAGGTTAGGCTGTAATTTACAGCGTGGCACGGAACACTATAAGGCATTATACCTTTTAAATTGTATAAATGCACACACTTATAATCACTTTATTGTCACCTCTTTTTACAGATTTATAACTTTTTTTACATTTCTATTATCGATTATAATTACCACTTACCACGCCCGCACACCTACCGATAAATCGATGACTGTCAACTGCGGCAATATCACTTTGCTAGGCGCTACGACAGGCGCCGCCGCGCGGCGCCGTCGCCCCGGAGTAGGGGGCGTAAAGTATCGATAAAATACATAATATATACTATAAAAATACCTATTTTTTATTGTTTTTTTTGTCTCATAATATACACTATTGTGAACTTAAAATATTCCTTTATTAAATTTGATTGATAAAAAGTGAGAGTTAAACGTTGATTGACTGGTATGATTTTTTCCGTATTCTATTAAAACTATTTTTATATACCATAATATTTTTAAAAACTCGGAAAAAGACATTTTAAAACTTCCAAAAGATCCACAATTTGAACTTTTATCGGGTAATTATCAACGCTGCTAAATAGAGTTGGGCCTCCAGTTGGTGACGTCACGAGATTTTTACGTCTAAGCTGTTCGGCTTTGTTATTACGGTGGTTACGGTATAACACTGCGTTTTCCATTTTTAAATGGCCTTAAAACTCTATGAATTAAACTCAAGAATTCTAATTCGATAAATAGCAGTTTTATTAAGTCTTTTATTTTTTACTGATTTACTACTTACTTATTGCCATTACTCACTGACGAGTATTTGACACGCATCAGAAGATGGTTACGCAAGGAGTTTCCTTTTATGTGCTTTTCTTGCCTGAAAAGCTCCTATGCGTGATGTTATCTCTCTTCCGCTCTCTGGACATTCAAAAATCTCATTACTTTGTTGCCTCTTTACTTTTTGGTTGTCTTTGTGAACTGAGTTTACAATTCTTCTCCATTGCGTTCTATTGTGCGCTGCTTCCTCCCACTGATTCTGCATGCTTGTCACTGCTTTGAAGTTTTCGTGGAAAATATCCTTGTACCTTTTCAGTTGTCCACCCGGTTTCCTCTTACCGTCTGCAAACTCACCGTAGAGAAGAAATTTCCTTAGGGGGTTTTCTGGTATCCTGCATATATGACCAGCCCATCTTAAGCGAGATTTAGTAATCATGACTTCAGCGCTCTCGCAGCTAGCTTTTTAAAGTACCGATACGTTTGAGACATGATGGGTACTATTTTATTCTTAACAGTTGTCTAAGATGTCTCTGTTGCAACTTGTTTAATGCGTTCGTGTGACGGTGGTACGGCACCCAAGTTTCGCTTCCATATAACATGATGGGGATTATTATGGCTCGGTACACTGCAAGTTTCGTTTTTGTACTCAAACATGATTGTAGAAGACACTGTCTTTTAATTTCCAGAATGATCTTGAGGCGCTGCTAATCCTGTACTGAATTTCAGAGGCAATATTGGCCTTTTCCGAAATCAAACTGCTGAGGTAATTGAATACCGCTACATATTCTAATAGTCCTTTTCTAGTTTTTATAGCATTGTTGTGATCTTCCGGGGGAGTGCACATGACTCTAGGTTTATTGATGTTCAACTTAAAGCCCAAAGCCTCGTATGTCCAGGTATATGTGTTCAGCATTTCTTGTAATTTCCATAACGTTTTTGCAAGTAGAGTCAGTCATCAGCGTATTGAAATTTTGTGATAAATTTTGTACGTATTTTTGCCCTAAATCGTTTTATGTTGAACAGACCCCCGCCGTGTCTGTATGTTATGTCCATTCCTCTTTCCTGCAATTTGGTGTCCACTATAATTTTACTGATGTAATATTATATATGTATAAATTATTATATGGTCTTGGTTACGCTAATCATAAATAAAGTGATGTCTCCATTGGGACCTTATTAACAGGAATTAATATGGCTATAATTCCCACTACATTTTATAGATAACAACCATAAAACAATAGAGATTTTTATCTTAATACTTCCTTATACATAATTCTATAGGATACGATTTTTATGTCCTTTAAAATCAGTCAATAACTTACGAATTAAATCTCTAGAATACACTCAACTGATTATTTTTCTGAATATTTTAATCAAAACAGAGTAATAATTTTATTTAACATACTTGAGAGCGAGCTCAGTTAGGGACTATAATTTTTTTATTTGTTTTAATATGTTTGCAGCTTTTAGAACTTCCACAGTACCAAGATATAATAAAAATCAAGACAATCGGCTCGACCTACATGGCTGCCAGTGGCCTAAATCCTACCAGACAAATTAAGGTAATGTTTATTATCATTAAATTAAATGTCAAACTATTTTTTAAGAAGAATGCTAGTTCTGTGATTCAAAAATATATTTATAATTTTTATATAGTGATTAAATATGTCTGCACCCTAGAAACAAACTGTTATATCATAAAACATAGTTTTGAGAAAAACGAATTTAAAATTCTTTTTGGAAGTTGTTTACTAATTTGCTTGCTTCATCCACGTTACCGTAGATGGCGCTAAGAAGGCTTTGGTAGGGTATATAAATAAACAAATCGAAAAGCGAAAGGGGCCAAAAAACCTACTCATTGCTTTATTCTCTGCATTAGTCTCAAGACCGAAGGTAAACAAGCCATTCGACGACCGGTTTCGGAATCTTATCTCCATCGTTTGGCGGACCTGCTGTAACCCCTCATCTGACCAACGAAAGGAGAAATAGCTTGTTTGAAATACTCGGTATATTTTTTAACCTTATGATTGTAATATTTGGTATATGACTAACTTATGTTGAACTTAAATGAAATTTAAAAACAGAGTTTTTATAAATTATATCAAATATTTTTTTAATTTTTCAAACTAAAATAACTGAGATTTTTTGGACTTAACATACTTTGCTTCTAGGATAGAGATATATAGTATTTCAGGTTTTTAAAAATGAAACCCTACTTGATTTTTATTGCATATAGTAAAAGTTAAAAACAGCGAAATCTATTGTGTGCACCTTTCTTGGAGAATTAGTTACTAATGTCAGGTCTTTTGACAAAATTATGGTAGGGATGATTGTGCCTCGGGGCACTCAGTGATAAAATGTTCTGGTGTTTCCTCACCGAATCTGCATTCGCTGTTGTTTTCTTAAGATAACAATCTACTAGGTTGTTATTGATAAAAGTGTCCTGTTAAAAATCCCGTGACGAAAAATATCCGAAGATTGTTCTTACTTAATCAAGGATTTTTTTTTTTTTAAAATGTGTTTTTAATGATAGACTGTTCAAATTAAAACTAAAAATATACTTCTTTATTTTTTGTCTACATCTTTTCATTTATGATACTTCCTATTTATTTTCTTTTTAAGCCTGACGATTCCTATTACAAGTTCGATGGGCACACTTAGCCCTGTTAGTTGAATTCGCCCTCGACCTAAAAAAGGCCCTACAAAGCATCAACGAACAATCATTCAATCATTTCGTGTTAAAGTTAGGAATAAACCACGGTCCAATCACAGCAGGCGTTATTGGAGCCCGTAAACCCCATTATGATATTTGGGGAAATACGGTTAATGTCGCTTCTAGAATGGAAAGTACGGGAAAAGCTGGTTGCACATACAGGTACAAACATTTAACAAACTATTTGTTTTTGTTTCTTTATAATTATTAGAAACATTAAAAAAAAAAAAAAAAATTATATTAATTTAAATAAAAATTCATAAATGGGTTTTAATATATAAAATTTGGGCATATTTTAAAATTAAATTATTTTTTAATATATTTGATCACAAAAATAAAATTTTTTTTTAAAGGTTATTATATATGTCATATTTTCTTTAGTAATTATTAAATGTCTTTTTAAAACATAGACTTGGAATACCTACGAAAAGTTACCTTTAGTAATATTGATAAAAAAAGAAAAAAAAAAAAAAAAAATGAATATTAAATTTTGGCGCAAGTAATAAATCACAATACCCTTACGCCTGCATTAACCCTCCACAAAATTATGATTTTGTAGTAGAGCACGCGGAATGTCTGTGATTAATGGTGTGAGTGCAGTATTTTTTAATAATTGCTTACATATTTATAATAGTTTTTAATCACGTTTATTGCTCCAAAATAATTTAATCAATCTGACCATAGATAAAAGGAAATTAATCTACTATACCCCTTTGAATATAAGGAGCATTAATGCTATCCATGTATCATGCATGGTGGGCGGAAAAAAAACACTCTGGGCATAGATAAAGAAATAATTAACTATTAAGACAGATATGAAATTAATAGTTTAATTTTTGGGGTCAAAGCGACCCTCCGTGTTTTTAGTGGAGACTAAGTTTAACCCAGCACCTTCGTCTTTTCTGCTGTAAATGTTTTTTATGTTTATTTTGAAAGTCAAAGGATTTTGCTTTTTTCAGTTACCACTGATATTTAGTATATCAGAAGTAACTTTAATAAAAAGAAGAATATATATATATAATATATATTATATATATATTATATAATATATTATATTATATATTATTATTTATATTATATATTACTATATAATATATATTATATTATTTTACAATTTTTTTTTTATTTTACTTTATTTTTACAAAAGTTGCAGTTCAATGAATTGTAAGCTCGCTCTCGATCCTAATGAATAAGACCGAAGTTATCAAGATTTCTAAAGCAAAAAAAAAAATCAAACAACGATACATACCATAATTTTCTTTATCTTAAACCTTATCGTTCTTTTGGAAAACCACGTACATTTTTGCCAGTTTGTTAGTTTTTTTGCAAGATGCAACACAACCAGAAAACACCATTTTTACAGTTAATAAAAAAACAACTATTTTTTTTAATTTTTTTGATATATTTGTTGAAATTAGTAGTTTAAAATTAAAAAACAAACGAAGCTATTTTTGCAACGCAGGCCACCCAATTCAATAAAATCAAAATTTTTCCTGCGAAAATCAGGCTTATTATTCACTGAAAGTATTTTCTTGATAATATCATTTAATCAACAATACTTTTTTTAAAATTAAAAATTTATACAGGGGTGTTATTCGAATTAGTCATAAAAAAATTAATGGTGTGATTCCTCACGTGTTTTCTTAAAACACATTTTTATATACTTGGATCTACAGTACTTCCTTTCTGATCTTACAGGGTGTTAAATAAAAAAAGCACTCGAATTTTAATTTGCTTTAACATAAAATGGTTAATTTAAATTTAATTCTTTTTTAAAGAAATATTTTTTTATAATAATTATAAATAGTTCTACAACAAAATTGTCATTTTGAGTTTTCTCTTATTCATCAAACGGTTGTCGAGAAAAAACATTTTAAATTATATTTTTTTTTTTTTTTTTTTTTTATTTTTTTTATTTAACGCATTTTTTTATTTTTTAGATTAATTTAGGAACACCTTGTATATGCATATCACAGAGCAACCAAATAAACTACGGTAAACTCTAAAAATTATTTTTTCTTAACCCATAGCGACTACCGTGTTTTTTAGACGTGTGTACTAACTTATTTTAATCAAATTTTCACCGCTATAAGTTCCAGGCAATTGCTCTAGGGGCGCGAGAATCCTTGACAGTCTTCTGTTTGACGATTCATTTTGAACATTTGAATTTGATTTGAAATTTTGTTTTTTTTTTTTTTTTTTTTTTTTTTTTTTTCGATCGTATGTTACTTATATATTTATTCTATCTGATAGTTGCTATCTAAGGTCGAAGCAAATCTAGCTGGAAATTGTGGAGAAACTTAAAATTAACAGTGACACTATCGCGACTTTATATTGAAAAAAACTCTAAAATAGTTGGTTGCGTAGCGTGCGGTAGATCTCGGCAAAAATGAAGTAATAATGGAAAACAACACTTTTCGTCAGTAATAGTGGAGACATTATAAATATACATAACGTGACAGTAAACCCGGCATTTATTGATACATTACACTTAAATTACTAAGAATTATATATTTCTTGCATTTTAGCTCTCTTATTTATTACTGTGTCAAAGATATAGATGTCAAAGACATCTTAAGATACGTTAGATTTGACTTATCTGCTCAGTAGCGTATCGGATGTGTTTAATAATACTTATTATAACTTATCTGATTTTTATTAGAATTATGATATTTTTATAACAAATTTTAATAACTACCAACATATTATTCACAAACGCTAAAAAAAGAAATTATTGAGTCTATCCCACCGTCTACCCCAAGTCTACCCTACATCATAGTTTTACATTTTTCAATGATAATTTACGGCAGTGCTTTCGGCTTTTTCAGAAATTATGTCCCCAAATAGGCTATCTATTTATTAATTTATATTTTCTTAATTTCTTTTCTAAATTAAGACTACATGTATTGACATGATAAAAAACTATTTATTGACAGTGTACTGACAATGCCTATAGAAACATCATGGAAACCGACGTTATACCACTATCCACCATGGTTTTTGCAGTTTACACAGCTTTTTAAACAGACTCTTTAAGTTTTATTGCCACTTTTTCACAATTTTTTTTTTTTTAAACAAAAATTAATTAACCACAACAAAAAATACTTTGGAAAATGACACGCTTCTTAAAACACCTTTTTCGGTATTTTTTTTAATGGAGGGCGGTATAAATTTAGATAGATTTACTTATAAATTTGAAGATTCTGACTTTGATAAGAGAAATTTATTTTCCTGTTCCTTGTTTGCTATTGGTTCTTCAGCAACCGCTATACCAAGGCCACTTAACAACCGTTGCGCATCCAAACAATGTGCGCGTTCGGGGAACACAGCCGCTGACTTTAGCGTAGAATTTCGCTGAATATCAGCTTACGATATTCCCTAAACAGCAAAAAGAACAAGAAACAAACAAAATAAAAAAAAAAAAAAAAAAAAAAAAAAAAAAAAAAAAAAAAAAAAAAAAAAAAAACGAGAAATAATAAATAAAATCGTCGTCTTCGTCAAATCGGCCTATAATCGTACGATCTTTGTCTTAGAATAAAAATTTATTTGTGAACCAAAAGATTTTATATTACTGGTGATCATTAACTAATTCGAAATATTTATTTTTTTATTTTATTTGCATTGTTATAAGTTTCTAAAAAATAAAGTTATAAAATAAACGTAGTTTTTTTTATTTTATTGTATTTACAAAATTCGCTTACAGATGGAAAAATCAAGTCGAAATCTTTCTTTATTCTTTAACTTCTTCGATCTATATTTACAACTGTCTTTTTCAGAAAGTTTTAGAATTACCTACTGCTTGTTCTACTGCTTGTATAACATTTTTGACAACCAAACATACTCTATTTTTTTAAGGATTCGATTAACTATACGATTGGACTACAAACTCAACAAACCATTAAAAAGTAAACAATAAATTGAGAAAATTAAATGGTTATTTACATTAGGATTGACCACGATAAGGAAATAGATTAAGGCTGACTTATCTCAGCCTAACTATTTACCGCTGAGAATTTCGCAGCGGCTGACTGTTGCTGTTTGTCAGAATAGACCGTTTAGGAAAGTCGCTTACTCAAGGTCACTCAGCCGCTGACCGTCCTTGAACGCGCCCAATTATAAGTTGTTGAGCGGGAGGGCGGCTTTCAAATCTACACTTGTTTCTTTATCATATGGCCTCTTCAAATATCGTCTTCTGATAGGTAACAGGGGAAACTTGCCGATTCTCAGAAAGCTTTCAAACTATTCAGTTCGAACAAGCGCGGCTAGTGGCAGGTCAATTTACAGGCCAACTAAATGACGTACTTACTACTGGGCTTAAAACGGCGGTAAATCACGCCACCTACCGCTCCAATCTCGCCCGTCATGATAACAATGGACACTGTAAACGAAGAGGACGAATCGCACGGCAGCCTAACCTCGAAATCCGAAGAGAAAACATCGGAGAAAACTGTAATTGAATGCTCGGACAAGGCGGACGATGAAGTTTTTATACTAGAAACGGAAAATTCGGAATTGCAGGACAAGAAGGAGATTGAAATTAAGGATTCGAACGAGGCTACTTTGTTGTTGAGTTCTTGTGAGGATTGAATGGTTGAGAGATATAGGGAAAAGTTATTTCGTAAAGACTGATTACTTTGTTATTGTATGAATTAAGTTTTAAACGGGCTCTATCTATTAGGTCCAAGCGGACCGGGTGCAAAACGCCGCAAGATTTTATGAAGGCTCAATACATTTTCAAAATCGATCTGGCATTTTAAGTGTTAAAAAGCAAACAAGTGTTCAGTTCAATCCTCTCTTTTTTTT